GGTTTGGGTGCTGGCAGTGGCTGTGGGCACGTTTGGGTGGTGGCAGTGGCTGTGGGCAGGTTTGGGTGCTGGCAGTGGCTGTGGGCAGGTTTGGGTGGTGGCAGTGGCTGTGGTCAGGTTTGGGTGGTGGCAGTGGGCAGATTTGGGTGCTGGCAGTGGCTGTGGGCTGGTTTGGGTGGTGGAGGGGGCATTCCTGACTGAGAGGGGCTGGGGACTCTCAGTCTGGGGGTGCTTGAAATCCCAGGGACATCTCRATACCCCCAGTGTGGTGACATCCTGTGTCCCACAGACCTGCAGCCAGCCAGGGGGCCTCATGGAGGGAACACAAACCCCACCAGTGCAGGCAGGGTGGGAGCTGAGTGCAGCTGTGGGGTAGCCATGCCCTGTCACTGCTGTCCCCGGTGACACCGCGTGGCTGAGCTCAGCTCTGTCCAGTGAGACCAGGGAGCTTCCACATCTCCTGTACCACTGCAAAGCTGTGGCTGCCCGTGAGGCAGAGGAGTTCCTCTGCTCCATCCCAGGAACATTCACGTGTTTGCCGCTGGCTGGAGCAGGGGGACGTGTGTGCCCGAAGTCTGAGCACAGCTTGTCACCGTGGCAGCACGGCCCCGCCACGAGCARTGCAAGTGGTGCAGAGAGAACCAGCACATGTCTGTGAGGGTGGCTGTGCACACACCCCTCGCTGGGCTCTCTCTCTGGAGCCAACTTGCCTGTCTTGGTCAGTTAAGTGTCATCCCAGGAGGAGAAATGTCCAGCCRAGGCAGTCCAACCCCAGCCCGGTGTGTGTGGTGGTGTCACRAGAGGGCACCGGCYGTGCAGGAGAAGAGGAGGGGCCGAWGGTCGTGCGTGGGCTGTCCCCTGCATGGACACCATCCACCGTCCTGCCTGTTTATTCTCCTTGTCCCTGTCCGTTCAGGTCGAACCGCTCAAAGAGGTTGGGGTGCAAAACTCGAAGTGCCCCACAGCAGAGCATCCCCCAYTTCAGAGCTGTCCCTTTGCCACAGAAAACAGACTGGGGGGAMAAGCCCTCACCAAGAGCGAATTTATAGCAGAGTTTCCTTAAGCAGGAAGCACCCGGGTCGKTCCGCGGTCGGTGTCGCTCCGGGGCAGGACAGGGCAGGAGCGGGGGAGCGCGGCGGCTCTCAGGGTGATGCATGGCCTTTCCTCAGGGCACAGCGGCCGTGCGCTGCTCTCAGCAGGTAGCAGCACCTCCAGGGAGAGCTGACAGAGCCATAAATAGCACCAGGGGCACGAGGGAGCCGTGTCTGGGAGAGGCTGGGGCGGTTTCAGCCGGCGCTTGACACGGACATTAATAACGGCGGGGGCAGAGCCGGAGCGCCGCGCCAGCAGCAGCCGAGCGCCGCTGCGGGCACATGGAGGGGCCGGGACTGCCGGGGGAGATGCCGCTCGCTCGGCCCGGGGGATGCAGCTGAGAGCCCGCATTTGGTAGGTTTTACTCGCAAAGATTGCAGCCGAAAGGCTGTACCCTTGGCTGGGCAGGATCCAGGCTGAGGAA